TCTCCCTGCCACTCCCCCCTTCCCCCTTACCCAAACCACACTAGAAAAATTAAAAATTAAACCAAAAATTAAAGGGAGAGAGGGGGAGGGGGAGGAGAGGAGAGAGGGGGGGAGAGGGAGAGATGACAGAAAGAGAGAGGGGGAGGGAGAAAGAAAGAGGACTATCTATCTCTATCTATCTATCTATCTATCTATCTATCTATCTATCTATCTATCTATCTATCTATCTCTCTCTCTCTCTCTCTCTCTCTCTCTCTCTCTCTCTCTCTCTCTCTCTCTCTCTCTCTCTCTCTCCTCCTCTCTCTCTCCTCTGCTCTAATATTATATAATCTAATATATATATATTATATATCTATATATATATAATAATATTTATAAATATATATATATATATATATTATATATATATATATAATATTATAATATATACATATATATATATATATATATATAATATATGTATACATATTATATATATATATATATATATAATATAAATATATATATATATATATATATATATATATATATACATAAAGAGAGACAGAGAGAGATATGGATTATCATCAAAAAGTTAATCAAATATCCTAAAAGTCTAACCAATCATGATCTTTAACCACATTCTTCAGTAACACACACACACACACACCACACACACACACACACACACACACACACACACACCACACAAACACACACAACCACACACAACACACACAACACACACACACACACACACACACACACACACACAGACACAGAGGAGAGAGAGAGAGAAGAGAGAGGAAGGAGAGAGAGAGAGAGAGAGAGAGACGAGAGGAGAGGAAGAGAGGAGAGACGAGGAGAGAGAGACGAAGAGAGAGAGGAGAAGAGATAAGCGAGAGATGAGAGAGAGACAGGACAGAGACAGAGAGCAGAACAGAGACAGAGAAGAGAGAGAGAGAGAGAGAGAAGAGAGAGAGAGAAGAGAGAGAGAGAGAGAGAAGGAGAGAGAGGAGAGGAGAGAGAGAAGAGAGAGAGAGAGAGAGAGAGAGAAAACTACATATATACAACAAAAAAGTTTAGCTCCGTGCTATAGGAGGAGAGATGCAGGTAGCTTCCCATGTTAGCTCCCCTTTGGCTGTCTCTTTGGCCTATGGTGGGGTTTACTCTTCCTTTCTTTGTCTGTCTGTCTGTCTGGCTATTCGTTCGTGCATTTGCCTCTGCTTGTTTTGTCTGTCTGTCTGTCTGGCTATATCTCTTGGCCTCTGTCAATCTGTATCTGTCTTCCCTCTCTTTTCCTTTCTATAATCATCGTCATCGTCATCGTCATATTCACCAATCCCATATTTCATTCACCATCATTAATTTCATCCTCATCCTTCCTCGTACTACTACTCATTCACTCCCTCCTTCCTCTCTATCATCGATCATCATCCATCAATCCATCATCATCATCACCCCATCACCATCATCATCATCACATCTCATCATCACCCCCACCATCCACCATTCCCCATCCATCATCATCATCATCATCATCCCCACCATCCCACCCCCATCAACCATCACTCGTCACTCATTCCTCCATCCATCATCATCATCATCCTCACCCTCCATCCCCACTCCCCATCCATCACCATCATCAATCATCATACATCATCCCACACCAAATCATCTCCCAGCCATCCATCATCATCACTCCCGTCATCATCACCATCATCATCATCCCACACCATCCCCATCCCCATCATTCATTCATCATCATCATCACCATCATCCCCATCTCGTCACCATCACCAAGCCCCGTCCCCAAATCATCGATCATCATCCCACCTCCATCCATCCCACCACACCATCCCCCCCCAACCCCATTCACCCTCCCATCACATCACATCACCCCACCACCGTTACATGGCGTTAGATTTTACAACCACGGCAATGATATAAAAAAACGAAAAGTTAATTTGGTTCCCCGAGAAATACTTGCTTATTGAATGAGGCAGAACCGGAAGTGACTGTGACGTCTCTGATAAGGGCGATATCGACCATAACTTCATGAGTTGATAAGAAAATCATGATAAAAAACAGGATGTTGATTTTAAACTACACTTCCACACACGACCACACCCACACACCACACACACACAACACACACACACACACACACACACACACACACACACACACACACAACACACACACACACACCACACCAACCAACATTTTTTTTATTATTTTTCTTACTTTTTTTCGTACTTTATTTGTCTACTCTTTTATATTTTCATATTTTCAATACGTTTGCTGGCTGAGCTATATGCTGGTTGATCTAGTGAAAATATATATATATATATATATATATATATATATATATAATATATATATATATATAATTTCTAAGCATGAAGCTGGCAGGGGGAGGGGGGGTGTTAAGGATGCCATGTCCCTCCCCCCCACCCCCAATTTTTAGACTGGGGAGCCAACACTACCTTTCTGCGCCCCCTCCCCCCCCCCCCCACTTTTGGTGTCCCGGTCTTCCTGGAAGAAGGAAATAGTTAAAAATTGCCCAAAAATCACTCCAATTTATATATTTTTTTTCATAGGACCCCAACCCCCCTCAGAGACTTCTCCCTGGACCCCTAATCCCCTATTTTTTTTTTTTTTTTTTTTTTTTACTTTATTCCTGTTTACTTCTCGTTTATTTCGTCTATAACTTCTTTTGATCGATTGGAAGAGAAAGACAAAAATAAAATAATAATAATAATAATAAAATAAGAGTCGGTACTGTTAATAATTAAATTTGAAAATAAACTGTCTTGTCCTATTTTATCGTATGGGTTAACAATTTGTCTGTCTGTTTGTTTTTAATTACACAATATGCGGTAAAGATTTTGGTTCTACGTAAGTGTGACTTATTTGTTATTGAATCTTCTTTTTTAAACAATTATCCTTTATTTTTACGATTTGGGTTGTTTAATTAAACAGATACGCAGTGTTTTCCTAAAAACGCGGCATGTGTGTGTGTGTTTTGTGTGTGTTGTGTGTGTTGTTTGTCGTGTGTGTGTGTGCGTGTGTGTGTTGTGTGTGTGTGTGTCTGTGTGTGTGTGTGGTGTGTGTGTGCGTGTGTGTGTGTGTGAGTACATGTGTGTGCGTGTGCGTGTGTGCGTGTTGTGTGTGTGTGTGTGTGTGTGTGTGTGTGTGTGTGTGGGGTGTAGTGTGTGTGTGTGCGTTGTGGCGTTGTGCGTATGCGTGTGCCGTGCGTGTGCGTGGCGTCGTGTGTACATCTAAAGTATCCAGACACATACACATACACACTAGCTGGCGAAAAACAGAACGCGCATTTACCCCTTTCAAAATTCACAGTAAGTTTGGGTGTCCTCTTATCGAACGGGGCCAGCCAAAGATACCACGAGAATAAGGTCAAAATACCTGTCTTATTGTGATCATGCTTTTCGTTTGATAACTCGAAAAAACAGGCAATGAACTTTTGTATATAGTGAAGGGACACGTGCGTAAATTAATGAAATTAAGGTAACGTGTAAATATATATTATATATATATATATATATATATATATATATATATATACATACATACATAATACATACATACATACATACATACCATACATACATACATACATAACATAATACATACAGATACATACAGAGAGGAGAGAGAGAGAGAGAGAGAGAGAGAGAGAGAGAGAGAGAGAGAGAGAGAGAGAGAGAGAGGAGAGAAGAGAGAGGAACAGAGAGGAGATGGAGAAGGGAGAGGGAGAGAGAAGGAGAAGAGAGGAGACGAAGAGCGAGAGAGAGAGAGAGAGAGAGAGAGAGAGACGAGAAGAGAGAGAGAAAGAGAAAGAGAGAGAGAAGAGAAGAGAGAGAAAGAGAGAGAGAGAGAAGAAGAACAAAGAGGTGTAGCCTCACACGTGACATTAGCCCATCCGTGGCTTCTCCTATTTAGTCATATCCGATATTCCACATCCGTTCTCGTAACAAAAACTAAAGGTTGCATCTTTACGGTCTCCTTTTCTTTTTCTCGAAATACTTTACGCCACAAACCCTCCTTTCTTTTATCCTTCTCAAAACAAAGACAAAATATATAAGCTATATCATATCCCATTTTCTTTGGTCCCTCGTATCGTTTTTCTAAGACCTGGATTCAGGCAGACGACGGAATGCCCCTGTGTGTGTGTGTGAATCCACCAGCGTTCTTGTAGGTGTGTTGACGTAAACAAGTCGACCGCAGATGTCCTAACATGCCTTCAGCTCGGGAGAAATTTGCTTCCCTTGATTTCAGTATATAGAAGGTTTTCAGAAATCATAATTTGAATATCATTTTGAGTAAAATAGAACCTATTAGTCATCGTAATTATCAATAATGATGCACTTACCTATATATACATCTCTGTATCTCCTATATCTACTTATAACGATGTATCTAAAGGGAATATGATGTATGATAACCGTATCTTTTTATAAGCATGTCTAATGTGCATATATACGTACTGTGGGTGCATATATGTATATGATTATGAGTATGTATGTGTATGTTTGCATAGATATGTATGTGTATGTGTATGTGCATGTGTACGAGGAGTAATTATCAAAGCGTTCCCCCTGATCCACTTCCCATGGATGAGCACAATTAAAAAATTTTACGCCACAGTTATTTGTCTTTGTCTACAAAGGTCCCACCAAGAGCGACATAGTCCTACCATCGTTTTATGCAGCTGTGGACTCCTCGCTGTGGACTCCTAGGCCGTGGAAGTCCGCGTGAAGGGACTTCGGAAATCAGTGCCTCACAGGAGACGTCTGGCCTTCAGAAACGACTTCATGGACCGGAAGAGAACTGGTTAACATTCCGAGCCTTTTGGTTTGGATAACCTCCCATGATTTATGTAACAGCGAAGCGTAGTAATCTCCTGTAACTGTAGTACCTTTTGCCAGGATATCCATCGTCACTACTCCATGCTGGTCCTAAAAGTCTGTGAGCATGACCTTGCCTGCTGTGGATGT